GACGTGTACCAAGCCGAACCGTACTCTGTCAGAACATAATTTTATATATATATAATTTTTACGTATACATATTTTAAAGAAAGTTCATAAAAATGTAACAAATAACTCACGTATAACCCTTTCTCCATTCAAAATTATCTAAGAAACTCCAAGCAGCATATCCTTTCACATTACATCCGCTTTCTCGAATGGCAGTTAACATTGCCTTCATATAAGAATGTAAGTAGGATATTCTTAAATAATCAAAAATACAACATCTGTCAGAAAAACCATTCTCCATAATAAAGATAGGTGGGTTATTATATTCACTCGCAATCTTCTTGATAATTTCTCGAAACCCAGCGGGAATAACCTAAAATATTTATAGAACTTTTGCGCAAAATACAAATATTTTATTCGCGTCGGTATTTTATTTTTGATAAAAAAATTATTTTAATTTTTGTAATTTTATTGTATTTAAGAAAAATGATATTCGACAAAAACTTAATTCACAGTGGGGCAACATATTCGTTACTTCGTAACACTACATCAATTAATAGCAATAGTCAATTACTAGTTTCTCCATAATCGGACATAATTTCACTAGTTATAATCGATTCGGCCGAATTGTCGAAATATGCATATTTTCTGAAATACACTCAATTCTGATTTCCAATTTATGGCGTTAATTACAAACTATGAATAATTCACAAAATGAATATAATAATAAGTTAATCCATCTGTACTTGTATCAGGGTTAAATCTCCTAGCAAATCTTACACAAACAAGTTTCGAGCGCGGGAAAATTGATTGATAGTTTGATACATATATGTGATTTTCTGTGCTAACTAACTCTGAGCCCATCCGAAGCGCTTTTTGGCCATGATGGATCTATGCTTGTTTTCACGCCGGAATAATCGTACCACGCTTGTCCTTTTGATCGTGGCACTGTTTCCACAAGTTTCGAAGAGTAATGATTCAATGCAAAGAAATCCGATGTACCTCTTAAAAAACGGTAAAAAGATAATAACCGAGAGATAATATCAGTCTGTAATTAATTAGTAATGGTATTAATTATTGTATATTTTTATTATATTTCTTACTTGATATATTGCACCCATTCTGGCGAAAATACTGGCAAAATAGATTTTGGAAAACCATCCAATTTACTGTTTTCAGCTATGCGCTGTCTCATGATCGCTGGATAATCACCAGTCTTTGAATAAACGGGATGGGCCATCCATCCGCAGTCAAATTGGAAATGTACGTCTACTGCTGTAGTATCAAAAGGGTTTTTGGGAAATGCGCCTGTGCAAGCGGGAATTAAGCCTATTTGACCTTTCTGCTGTTTTCGAAATTCTTTGTCGTAGATATGATAAATCTTGGCATGCGCTTTCAAAATATTATGCACGCACAAATA